AAGGAGCGGGCTCCGGCGTTCCGGAGTGTCGGGAGCATCTCTTCAAGGTCCTGGTGATCGGGGAGCTGGGCGTCGGTAAAACCAGCATTATCAAGCGATACGTGCACCAACTCTTCTCCCAGCACTACCGGGCCACCATCGGGGTGGATTTCGCGCTCAAAGTCATCCACTGGGACAGCAAAACCCTGGTGCGGCTGCAGCTCTGGGATATAGCAGGTAAAGGCCGGGGGTGGGCATCCCTCTGCAGGGTGAGCCCCGAGCCGGGACAGGCCTATGAACCCGGCTGTCGGGGGTCTTGGGGCTCAGCCTCTGCAGGAAAGGATGTTTGGGCTGTGGAGTCTGTCGTGTTCTTTTTTTTCATCCCCTGTTACCGGCAACCCATCTTCTCCACACTTGAAGCGTCAGTAGAGGGAGGTCTTGATGAGGGACTGAAGGTTTTGACTGTTGTTGTGGGGCTCTTGGCTTGGCCCAGGGTTGTTTGTGGTATTTTTGTTGTTGTTATTGTTGTTGGTTTTTTGGGGGAGGGGATCCAGGGCTCCTGGAGGGTTCCTTTTCATACTGTTCCTCCAGACCCGCTTGCCTGGGTGCTTATGACCTTGGTTATGACTACTGCTTAAACTCATTCCTGGTTATGGCTCCATAATGCTTCTAGAGGAAATAACTATATTTTTTCCAAGTAGGTTATGCTTAGTAAGCATAGGTTACCTGTTAAAGGTAACTCAAATAGCTAAAATTGTCCTCAAAGGAAGTATGCTCAAACTGTGTTTGGAGTTACTGACTTAAGTTGAGAGTAACTTGTATCACTGCAGTGTGGAGTGAGGAAATGGGACTTGTGTTATCCTCAGTTCATTCAAACCATGGGGTTTTCTGTTAAAAAGGTACTTTGATCACACAGAAGCAGAAAAGCCTCGTTCACTTGTCCAAACTACATGTCATTCCTTTCCTGTATATAATTCAAAACTGTTCTTTAGTGCCTCTGTTTTAAAGACTCCAACTGTATAGCTGTTATGGTTCACTTTGCTCATGCTCCAACATAAAATGCTGCAGAACAAACTCTGTTTAGCTGTGGTCTTGTAAGAAGTTTGTCTCCTCAAGCTGATATTGCATTTCTAGTTTTGTGAGCAGTCCAGGTATTAACCTGCAGCTCTCTTCATCCCTCTCCTTGTTCAGAATATCTCCTTGAGTAGGAAAAAGTAGTCTTTTTATTTCAAATGCTGATGCTTAAATTTAAGGTACTGGAAGATATTGGGGTAAGAATGGATTGTTACTGTTTCCATGAACTCTATGCTTTATCAAGTGGAAGCTCAGAAAAGAGGAAGCGTAACATGTGGCTGCTGTTACCCTGTGACAGACCAGTTCTACATCAGCTTCTTCCATAATGGTTATCTTCGAACACTTAAAATGTGATTCTTCAAACTAAAAAGCCTGCTTCTCTACTGCCACATGCTGAAACACACCATAGATCTTTCTGCTGCTGGCCTGTAAGGGAAACTAATTGGTTTTTTTTTTTTTTAAGTTGCTGTTTTGGACAGCAAGTAAAATGTTGGCAAGCTTTCTCTTCTGTTGTGTTCCTTTTATGGATCAATTTTAACTTTCTGTAAATCAATTAGCTGTATTGATACAAGCTGCTACAATGCTTTGGATATACTTTAACAAGTCTGGGGTTCCAAAGATTGAAGAGGGGAGACTATCAGGATCCTGGGGTTTGGCAGGTTGCCATGCTTGCAATTAACTTCTCAGCCCTCAGGTTTCTGAGACTGGGGTAGGCTGCAGATTGCCAAAGCAATCTGTTTCAACAGGCTATGCAGAAACTTAGCTGTAACTTGTCAAAGAAGTTATGGGAATCTATCAATATACCCACACATTAATTTCAAGATCTAAAAGAAAGTATTTTGCACTCCTGATTATTGCCATTAGTATATCTTGGACACTGCTAGGTGAAGACTGAATTAAGAGCTGCTAATAAATCCCTGGAGGCTTGTGCTAATATTGCTGATAGATTGAAGAATTAAGATTTTTCCTGTCATTGAATATTGTTCTATTTTTCAACATGGTGTACTTTTGTATGAAACTCCTGGCTAGTCTTTCCCTGGCAAAAATGAAAAGGGAGAATATGACTGTCTTGCAACTGGCACTACAAACTCTTATGTCTAATGTGGTAGTTTAGGCTATTCTGTTTCCAAGGGGCTGGGGGCAGGGGGTTCCTTCCCCAACTGAAAAACAAGACCAAGAAGAGAAGTAATCCAAGTCTTAGTAATTTTTATTTGGGCTGTTCTTAGCCATTGTGAGAGTAACAGTTCAGACTCCTATAGAATTTGACATCTCAGTTAAGTGTTAATCATTAAAATAGAGGGGATTTTAATATCTGTGACAGTCAATTAATTGTCTTAAAAATTGCTAAAGTCCTTGACCTGGCAATGTGTTCTGCAGCTGTCTACATCTCTACTTCTAAACACCTGAGAATATTAGCAGGTTTATATAGAAATTATTAGTTCAAGAACCGGGTTGAAGATGGCTTCTATATAGTTGTAGTACATATTCCCTAAAGCACTTTACTGAAGTGTGTAACAAGTATCTGAGCATGTGATAGTCATTCCCCTTTCCCTCATCAGCTCAACTGTCCTCTGGCTTTGAACCTCTCATGCAGATAGGTTTTCCTGCTGGTGTATGCAGGCAAACAGCTTTAGATCTCTTGAAGAGATGTAAATCTTATGGTAAGTAGTGTTACATGTGACTTCCCTGCAAGCAATATGATGCTGTCATTCTGAATTGACTGATGCATTTAAAAAGACTTCTGAATTAAAGCGTAACCCTTAAGCATAGTAAGGCATGTTATTTTTGCATTAGATCAAAGCTCACACTTAACAGTTCATCTTAAAAAGCTTTCCTCAAAGAGTTTGGTGCTACAGTCTAAGGTTCTGTACTTACATCAATGGTAAGACCTAACCATGTAGTTCAGTCATCAGATGAAGATTATAATGCAGATACTGTACCAGCTTCTGGTGTGGTTGGTTGTAGCCAAAATGATGAATGTTGTGCTCAGTATTGCAATGCAGCAGGTTCCTGAGTGACTTCAGCTTCTTGAGCTAGCTGAGTGTTTTGGGTTGGTTTTTTTTGTGATTAGATAATTCTGTCAAATAGGGCATGACAATGTCATACTGCCTATGCTTTTTTTTTTTCTTCCCCTCTGGTGAATAGCTTTCTTGTTGTAAGGTACAAGGTAACACAAATTGCTGCAGCAGAATCAGAGGGCAGGGGGGGTGTGAAATAGTGAAGGGAGAAGAAGGATACTGTTATGTCTAGACTTGTGTATTCCAGAAATAGGCAGGCACTTTAGTTTGTAGACACAGACTGTAGCTTCTTGAGTAATGGAGGTGAAAAGGCTTGGGAGTAAGACCTATTGGCCACAGTCAAATTATCTTGGTTGTGGAATGAAGTATTCTGAAAGAAGCTGAACATGCATGTTTGTACAGGAGCAAAACTTTTAAACCTTAATTGCCCTTAGGCACTACTCTTTTTTTATTTTTTGTCTTGACATGTAGAGTTATGATAAATGTATGTTCTTGGATAAATTCTGCAAGATTTAGAACCAGGTGAACCCTCTTCATCAAAGTACATAAATAATTGGCAAAATAAACAGGAGGTAGAAGTGGGTCATTGTGGTAAAGAGATAGGAAGCAGAGCAATCTTAATGATAGGCAAGTGCTTTTAAAGTGTATTTCAATACACTGGAGATTCCTACTTGACAAGCATGCTGTTTTAGTGACTATATTGCTGTCAAGGGTTAAGACTGGGCTGGCCACTAGACAAATGACCAGTGCTCTCTATTAACCCCTCTCCCTTCTCAAAGAGTAAGAAGATGAGAAAGGAAGAGAAATTTGTGGATTGGAAATAAAAACTAGAACAGCTTTAATGAAAATAACAATAAAATGAAATATCTACAGAATCAATATTAAACCAAACTCCCCTGATGGCAGCTATGTCATCAACACCACTGATGCTGTGGGCAGGCTCTGGGGAAGTCCTAGACAGCATTCACTGAGATGGGATCCAGACTCAGGAGCTCGATTTTGGAACTGGATTCAGGAATACAGAGATCAGGATGAAAGGCAGAAGAACAGATTCCTTGGATGTTGGCCATTGAGGAAGAGAACTTGACCCTCGTAATCCCTCAGCTCCATACTGAATATGACATATAAGGGGTGGAACACCTTGTGGATCAGTTTAGGGTCACCTGTCCTGTCTGTTCCTCCTTACAGGTGTGGCCTTTTACTTGCTGGATCCCCCAATGTGGCACTCAAGATTTAGCAGTGACCGTGGTCTGCACAGGAGCAAGTATAAGCAAGAGCCTCTTGCTTATGCACTCCAATCCTTGGTAGTAACTCTGAACATCAGGTGTTATCACTGCTAGAAGCAGATGCTCTGCACATACATGATGATAACTTCAGAAAGTGAACTTCATTAGAAGAGACTTAGCTGAAAAGTAAAACCGCCAAGCAGAATTAGTTCTGTTCTAGCTCAAACCAGGACATTCCACCCCTGATACCATACACATCATACTTATCACTAGTTTGATTTCTCTCTACAGAAAAGTTTAAGTTAATTTGGTACATGATTGCATGATTGTAGATTTCCATTTGTCATAGTGGTATTTCAGAGCAGGAAAGATTTTTATGGAATTCATGACAGTTCATGCCCACAGGTTGCAGATTCACCTCAAAGTTACTTGACACCATGTCATGAAGCTAACTTGGATATCCCCATTATGTTATCCTGAAAGATATTTATTAAGCACTATTAGTATTATATATCAATTAACATCATACAACTGAATATTCTCACCCAGAGTAAATTTTCTTGAGGTACACATTGGCCTTTGCCATCTTTCATCATCACCCACCAGTACTTCAAGGTCCTTGAGTGAAAGCAATCCCACAAATGGGTTTACCTTTGCCCAAAGCAGGAAATAGACACTTTTTCCCAAAAAAAAAAAAAAAAAAAATTCCTTTCATACACCACAGGGACTTTATCCCCTTATATATGTGAAAGGTCTGATTGAGCAGGACTGGCTTGATTGATGGTTCCCCTGGTATTCACTAACCAGGTGGCCTGTGTTAAATGCTTGTCCAGTTTTTAAAGGTTACCCCCCCCCCCCCCTTGCTTTCAGAGTAGTTTTTAACAGTCTGTTGTATCACTGAATTTATCCAGATGCTGGT